CACGGTACACTACGACGTGTGTCACTCGGTAATCAAGCCGGAAGACCCACCTCTTTTACAGTTCATCCTCTGTAATGACTTGAAATATCTTTGTTTTTTAACTCTTGTTTTATTTAGTACTCTACTTACAGAGATTGCTAAAATGATTAAAAGTGGTAAAATTGATAAGAAATACGAGATATCAGGGAGATAAAAAAATGTAACAAACTATGAAAGCTTTAATTAAATTTCATCCTGAGAGATAAAAATTTCGTAAAATGACTATATGAAAGAAATGGTAAATTTATTCAGGTTCTTTAGGAGAAATCAAAATTAATTACTTTTAATTGGAAAATTAATGCAAGCATATGAAGAAAAATATTACTTGATTTCATCTACGATTTTCAGTCTTTGAAAATGAATATGTAAATACATTATTAAAATTAATTTATTACAGAAAAATTAAGTTTTGTTTCGAAAGCAAATTTTCAAGTATAAGAAAAAAATTGGCCTGAACAAGTCAGTGAACAGATTATGATTTTTTTAATAATTTATAATTGTGAAATTTTATTTCATTCAAGAAATACTTAAAAAAATTTTATTAAAAAATAAGACAATATCATTTAAAAAAAGATTTTGATGGAAACTTAGTGTTCAAAACAAAACTTATAAAATTTTCTAAATTCTTTGCCTGCAAATAACAGAAAAATATACACTATTTGTATCGAGAAAAGAAGATACTTTAGCACTTATTATTCATCAGCATTATAATTATTGCAATCTGACCTTAGGTATTATCATAAAAACCATTCAGTAAAAACTTGAGGTTCAATATTGGTCATAAAAAAATTATTAAAATACATTCTTTTAATTTTTCATCTGTGCATGATGACTATAAATTTCCATGAAAACGAAAAAATAAATCATTAAACAAAAATAAGAAAGAAATTTAAAAAAAAAATAAAAATATTTACGATAATAATTGGGGTATTTTTAGAAAATTTACCCTAGACATAAATGCAGTTTTTTCACGTTCATTATAAATGAAGGCTACTATGTTAACGCCCACGTGTCGACTTCAAGCGATGCACACAGGGAATGTCAAATGATTCGCCTCTTAATTGACCAACTTCCCGGACACGTTGAGTTTCCACGGGGCAATCGTCAAAGTCCGTGGCTGGCAATGACATTGCTACATTTATTTGCTATGTATATATACATATATTCATCTACATAATATATATTTAAACTTACTCAGTCGAATATTATAATTGCCGAGACGAGTATAATACACTCAAGAGCACAAGTCAAATAATTGATTGTCTTTCAATAATATTAATCTATCCCACAGTTATTAATTATTCTTCAAAAATGACCTTGGCACATTTTTGTCAAACTGGTAATTTTATTTTTAAAACTAACTTTTATATTTTAATTATACATCAGATATTTTGTAAAATATATTTTCCCCCGACACAATTAAATGAATGTGAAATGATGATGATTTCTTGTATGTCCACACGCGATTCTAGAAGAGACCGTAGCAAAAACTCTCGAGGACTTTGCCTCAATGTTCACTCACCGTTCGTAGTCCAAGATCGTTTTGCACAAAAATTATCGACGTCAGAGTGTGAAAAGAACGTCAGAATGTCCCCGTTGGCGAGGTCGATTTGCAAAACTGTTGATAGAGATTAAATTGCGCGAGACAAGAGAAAGAAAAGGAAATAATAAGTGATGAGTTAAATGATCTTTATTTAGTGTATAAAATGTGCCCAATGAAGATTAATAAGTTGTATTATTGACATCTATCATATCAGCTAGCCACCCAGAGCATTGAATAGAAAATCAAATGCTTTCCTAATTCTTTGATCCATTTTATATCATTACTCATTATTAATTTTTTTTCTCGTATAAAAATTGAAAAAAATAGTTTTTTAAGTTCAATCAATCATTAGACGTTTTATTTCATGATTAATATTCAATTATCTGTCATGATTGAATAGCAACATCTTTCACATGAGTGGATTTTTAATTTAATATAGAACGATAGATATGTATGTATAAATTATAAAACTAATGGCAGAAAAAACGCTTATTTTGTTTACACATGACGTAAATATTTTTTGTATTGTGTCGTAACGAATTGAAGAATATGATACAGGCTTAGCTATTTAGACCTATCTTTACTACATAAAACTTGTTATTAATGCACACTCACATTTGAACTATCTCGTAGCAAATGGCATTTTTAGAAGTATATTTAAAATTTATAGGGCTGTAAAAAATTTTCTGTAAATTCCAATACAGTTTAACTCTTTGAATCAAGAAAATCTCTTTAACTTCATCTTAATCCTTTTTTATTTTTCCTCTTTCGACGAATTTCATAATCTAATACCTTATTATTTCACATAAATATTTTCGTCATTTTATTGAAAAGAAATGTAAATTATATAAGGTAAATATTAATAATCTCAGAGTGGTTAAAAAAATATAGCAACATTATAAATAAAAAAGTAATTACAGTTAAAATTATCTCGCAGTTTTATTTTACTTGTAATTTTCTATATACAAGACAACTCACAAGAGTTTAGTAAGTATATAGATAACAAGTAACATTAAGTGCAAATATCATGAGTTTTATCTTTGATAACTTGACATAGATAGGATATACACATGTGTATCTGTAAAGATAAACTCAATTTTTTATTATCAAAAATCAAACAAATTTCTTGAACCCTTTAATAATTCCAGTGAAAGCTCTTCTTCGGTAGTAAAAAAATAAAAATTCACGATTCTCATTCTTAAGAAATATCATCATCGCCAACATTCGTTGTAATGATTTAATCCTAAGCCCAATGCAATTGATTCATTAACTATCATTCTATTTACTATGCTGAACAAATTGTAGAGAATCCTTCCGAGTCGATGACTTTACAATCTCTTATGTCAATGACCTAGAAGATTCGATGTAATGGCTATTTATAAAACGTTAAACCACAATTTACTTGCATGTTATTTATCTATTTATCATACATTTTTACTTGCCAGGTTAAAAAATTGGCTATGAGTTATGATCATTTGATATACTGATAAATGTTTACAATTCTTTTTTCGTTCACGTAATTCCATCATTATTTTCTCTTTTTACAATATTTTATTCATTATTAAACAACTATTATCATGATAATTACTGATAGAAACAATTTAATAAAAAAATTTATGGTTATTTTTATGTTAATTATTCACAACTCATTTCAAACGTTTCATCTGCAGGCAAAACTACTAGTGATTGTAATTATTAATTCATTCAACAGATGTCAGAATTTTTTGCAGAAGCCATTTTCTTGATACAATTGAATACCTTGCGTCGTTCAAATACCTTATAAAGATAATACCGACTAGACCAACAATCGATAAATTAGTATTGTAAAAATTAAATTTATTCGATTGAAATAATAATAAATTAAATTTTACGATAATAAGTAAAATAATTTTCATTCTAATTAATAGGTTGTTTTTTTATTTGTAATGTTCATCGCAACAAATAATTCAGGAAGTATTTGTAACAAGATAGCGTGAATTTCAGTGTCCTCGGATGCCCGTTATTACATTTAATTGTGCTAAAAATGAAAGAACGACATATTAAATAATTCGTAAATACTGACAAGTATATTAACTTCAACTGTGCAACTGCAAGAAAAAAAATAGAAATTCATAATAACCCACGTGGTAGACAGCAATAAATTTTCTGAATGAACTCGACAGAAACTGGCAGCTTACCAGATATTTGACTTAACATAAACGTACCGATCCCGTTCTGTTACGTTTTTCAAGAAGCTAAACAAAAGTTTTACTGTCTGCTGACTTGAGCTATTTATTTTCTCATCTCCAGACTTATCAAGTCAAGTCATCGGTTTTTGTACTATAACGATTATGACTTTATAAAAAAAACAAATTCGCAAGCGCGTTTACTTTTACTTGCATGATTTATGATTATTAGTTATAACACATGGGATTTGGATTAATTAATCGCATTATTGGAGGCAAATAGAAAAATCAATAGAAAGTTGCTGATTCATTAATATAAATATGAAAAAGTATGTACATATTTTTATTATGACAAACAACTGAGTTTCAACGTTAGATGAAGTATTGACTCCATAAGAGAAAAAAAATTTTTTTTATTGACTGAATGAATTTACTCGATTAAAAAATACATCTGCCCAACCTTTGACATTGAAAAATTCCAACATTTTATCTGTGAACTAAAGTGACTAATTTTTAAAAATTCTCTCCATTTCTTTTTACACCAGCAATAAATTATAATCACATTATCACTTGACTTAATCATGAAAATGTATCGTCACTAAACGTTGTCTATTTATAATTTGTTCATCATCCTCATACTTTGACCTTTCAACTACATAATTAATTCGAAATTCAAGCATCAATTGTGTTAAAGACATTCACGTGAATCAAAAAATGTCAACTTTATCTAAAAAAATTATTATTCCAACAATAAAATGATAATGAACATTTGAATAAGTAATAAGTAAATTAATAAACGTATATTCTTAAAATTTTAAATAAAGTCGTGGCATAAAAATTTTATCATGCTTAATCCATCAATAAAAAATGGTTAAAATCTTAATAAAAACTCAGTCTAAAGTTCAATGAGTAAAAGTAAATTACTGTTGATTCGATTGACAATTTATTCTCTTCATGAAAACGAATTTCCACACAATGTGAAATGGATATAGAAAAAGAATGATTCAAATGTCGATAAATAAATAATCAAGTGATAAAAGAATGTTTAAACAAATATGTAAACAACTAAGATTGTAAAATCTCTCGATAGGTGGCAGCATAAACTCGATTACCTGCAGCTACCTGAGAGAATAAAAAACGAATGAGGTAAAGTTTATAATAAAATCTACTCCAAGTCAGATCGGCTACTCAACCGGCGGCCTTTTCTCCCTACTCTCTCCCACGAAACTGTGAGTCCCCTTTTTTTTCTTTCCAGTCACTCGTACACCGTCAGTTCAACGGGGACCCAACTGCACTCGTGACGACCCCACTCTTTCTCGCTACCCATACGATTGTACTACACTTTGAGATTCCTGTGTTTCACAGACTACACGAGCTTATACGGCGACGTGGACAGTACGAATATCGGAGTGTTACAGAGATTCAATTTTGTTGCGTTATCGGACTAATTAGAGACTTAATATTAGTGCATATTAGTGAAATATACTGAGTTATTGGAAAGACAAGTTAAAGAGTGAGTATATGATAAAGTAAAAAGTCAAACTTTCATTTCCTTCTTTCTTTTTTTACCTGGATTCTTCCACTACTTCATGGCGTCAGCCTTATATACTCTTTTATACAACTGTGCTGGAGCAGAGTAGTGATTGAGATTCAAAGGTTTTCTAGTTTTATGAGGTCAAGCGTAGGTTTTTATTGGTCATAAATATTTCCAAGTATCATTGAAAAAATTTCATTGTCAACGTATTCTTGTATCAATATTGTGATTTTTATTGATATTAATCAAAAAATTTCATCATTGCATTTTTTATTTTTACATCTTCCGAATTTCTCTCCAATTATTGTTATCTTAATCTTTATTGTTTAGTTACTATTTTAAATTTTGACCAAATTACTGGAACTTTGTCAACAATAATAATTACTACATGATTAGTTGTCAGCTTATCAATTGTGCGCATCAGAATTGTCATTCATAAACCAACTATTTAGATGCAACGTGCAGCTGTAAATGTGTCAGTCTCTTGATTCCAAAATAAACAAGTGTTTCTTGTATCTTTTATTATTATTAAATAGTTTCAATAGATATTTTTTCCTTCTTTAAGCTGTTAAGGTCATTATTTTTTTTTCTATTTTTAATCAAGTAAAGCCAAGTTTACTTTGCTGATATAAAATGCCTGATTATTAGAGAATAAAAAATACTCGACGGGTGGTGGACAAAACTACGCGTAAAGCGACGACTCAACATAAATATTAATGTCTATACCGTGTAGAAGAAGTATTTTTACGATAATCCACAACTATTATATCTAGTAAATGCGTCACAGCATGTTACTGTATTGTCGAGAGCTTCTCGAATGCTCTCGCCAAACCGCAGGTCGCGTGATGCAGGTGTGCAAAGGCAATCTTTGCTGCATCCACTTTTATAAGTAACAGACATAATGACAACGAATTATACCCAGACTAAAATCATCATTTTCTGGGTCATTCACATATTCGTTTAATTATTTTAATGAAAGAGCCGTTTTTCAGCATTTTGTTCTAACGTAAATAAAATATCCCAATTGTTTAAATATTCATACTCATTCATACTGACATTTTTATTATTTTTAATATAAATGAAAAAAATATAAAGTATCTATTAAAATATTTAAATTGTGTAATTGCATAAGTTTTTAAAATGACATTTTTAAAAAAATTAATTTTTTTTTAAAATTAATATTTATGAAATTTTGAGTTAGTAGTTATACATTCAGAAAGAAAAGTTTCATGCACTTAAATCAATTACATTGAAATGTATGCCGGTTAAAACCTTCAATTTTCTTAATATGTAAGCACCAACTTGCATATATTTTCGTCTGCAAGGAAATTGTTTTGCGGAGGCGTTTTAAAGTCTTTGTAAATATTCTTTATTCTTTCGAGTATCGACAAATTTGTAGAATGATCACATCAAGGTATACATATCGTATAGCATATCACGACGTGCAGACACACCTTGACGTGTTATGAATTGCACATTTTATACAAACGTCTGATTCTGATCAACATACACACGTCAAAGATACTATTTAAAAAATTTTATTACTTCTTTTTTTTCTAGTTAGATGAACGAATTAATTTTTAATTTACATTGTATTTACCTCACGTACAATCATAAAGTACAATAAATAAAAGTCTTACATATTGTGAGTGCTCATATTAGTAAAGAATTCAATGGCCTAATAAAAATCAGAAATTCAATTTGGATACCAATTACGGAGTAAAAATAATTTTAAATCAAGACTGTTTTGTTCTGTATATTAAAAAAATTTCCAATTATTTATCATATAGATGAGGAAATTCCAATCATACTAAAGATACTTTTCCTTTTTCCATCGTTATTTATAATATATACAATTATTCTCTCGACGCTTATTCAATAAAAATAACTATATGTCATATGAATGATGATTAATTGTGAGTAACATAAAAAATAATTCAGTTGTGCTTTATGTAGACTCGATGTGCACGTGATTGATAACAGTAGGTTTTCTACTGAGACTTTTATTCAGAAGCTAATAAAATATATTAATTTTTTTTTAAACTTTCATACTCATAAAAAATGTGAAAAATTGTCAGTAATAAAAAAATCTGATTTTTATTATTATTATTCTAAAAATAAATTTCTAACAAGAAAATTTAATGTCATCAAGAAAAAGTCATGACAGTAGAAAATGACATCCTCAATTGATTTTCAGTCATTATCTCTTATTGTTATAACTGAATATTTATATCAAATGGAACAAAGAAAGAATAGAAGTAAAACTAATACGATTGTACTTAAATGAATAATATGATTATGAAATGTAGTTAAAGATTAATTGTTTCATCATGTGATGATGATTTACTGTATGTCTCTAAAAACACAACAAAACAGTTGTATATTGGTGGTATTCATGTAGTTATTTTACATCAAGAAGAAAACCTTATCGAATCATTGCACGGTCGATGACTCATGGAAATAAAAATTTTTGCTGTCTAGAGTCTTGATGTGAATAGAAAATACCAAAGATCGGTACTTGGTGGTTACGAGTAATTTCACTTTAACAAGAGGTGTATACCAAGAGGTGAGGAATTGAAAAAATAAGCATAAACAACTTGAAGACAAAACAAATAGACAAACGAGTGAATACCTTGGGTTGTTTATCGTGAATAAATGGACAAATATATGCTGATAAAACGACGCCATGATATCACTATCTTATTGATAAAGAAACGCAAACGGAATGTAGTGGATTCGGGTCGGCAATTTTTAAAAGTGATTTTTATTATAAAAGGGTAGACAATCCATTCCACGGACTATTGCAAATTATTTGATAAAAAAAGAACATTTTTACCAGAGCTTTTTCGTGTAGAGGTAAATTTTTTACGATAATCAGAAACAAATTTATCTGATTAAACATTATTTTCTATCATTCTCTAATTATTCAAAACAATAAAGATAAAACATTATTGCTTAAAAATAATAAATATACTTTACTGGTCATTAATAAAACTTTATCATAGTTATCAATAAATGGTGCTAATTAATTTAATCATTACTTGAAAAAAATCAAATTACATAATTAATCGTCTTGTAGTTTATTAAATTTCCAAATGACGATTGTGCAAGTAAGCTTATTACTCTAAACATACATACACATGAATATCTATTTAGCAATATTTACAACATGTTTTAGAATGAAATATATTATCTGAAACATAATCGAAACCTCGAGAATACAAACTCCACTAGCAGGTATTTAGTGTATTTTATCTTTTTAGAGAATGGTCAAACATTTGAAATACCATAAGTCAGGTAGTGAGTTTAAGTATGTTTTCGGTATAACTAAAAGAGGCAGAGATTTGTAACGTGTTGATGTAGCGTAAATTTGGTTTTCTGGAATTTGAAATGAAGATAAAAAAAGAAAGAAATACAGAATTATCGTGGAACACCTGCATGCATCTTCGTGTCAGAAGCTAAGAAAATGCATGAAGAGAGAGTAGGTAGCCGAGAAAACGGATGAACAAAGACGATCCAAACTCTCTTGGGGTCGGCGATACCTTCTACTACGTCTCTTCTTCTTCTTCTTCTTCTTCTTCTCATTTCTTCTCTTCTTCATTTCTCATCCCCCTTACCTCTCTTTAAACTAGTCTCGACAGCATTCAGCACAGCTGGTCAATGCTTTCGGGGTTACATATAGGATCCCTAAAGGGCCTTACTGCCGACCACCTTGGTAGAAGAGAAATCAAGTCTTGAACGATAGAGTTTAGAGTTTAGATTCTCTAGCCTTTTCTTCTCCACCTCCTTTCTTTCTTCTCGATCTTCCACAGTCTATTGTAATTCGATTCGCCTCAGATAAATATCTATAAACGTGTTCTTTACTATTTTTATTGAAGAATAATCTTCTAAATTCAAAAGAATAATTTTTTTCCTTAAATATACACCAGCAGGATTATACTAAAATAGATTTCATTATGAAATTATCCAGGGATTTTTACTCCCAAGATTATTTATGAGGTCCAATTATAAAAATTATGGGAGTTTTTATTTTCAATGATCAATGATTAGAAAAAAATGATATTTTTATCATTTTAACAATCAAATCCTTGATAGTGATTCAGATAATTATGTTGGTTTTTTTTATTTTATAAACAAAACAATAAAATGATAACTGTATAAAAAATTTCATCCTTTAAATTTATGATTAAAATAGATTGAAAAATTCCATTCTATTTTTAATGAAAAACTGATCCATTAATTTATTCTTTTGATTAAATTCTAGTACAAAAAGCTTCATATAGCTGAATGGCTAAGTCTTTTTAACTACCATCACATTATTCTTGATTGAATGAATGAAAAAGAATCTCAAGTTATTATTAAATACAATATAACCGACTAGTTCCTTGATTCACTATAATATGTAGAACTTGATAGAACGGTAATAAAACTCGTGTTGGCATCCGGTTGATAAGTGTTAATACACATTGATAAAAAGTAACTGCGTAGTCGATATGTAATAATAGCAGATTCCTGACAAAGATATTCCTCGATACAATTTTTTCAAAATTCCTGAAGAGACTTCTTCAATTTCATGTTTCACATTACATACGAGTCAGATTTACGTTTATTAAAGTCTATTCTTATAATGGTGACAATTTTTTATCAATAAATGTTCCAATTTTAGTGAAATATATGAATTTAAAAAAATAATATTTATATCTTATTTGTTTTTAATCTTGAATAAATACTAAGATAGTGTAAATGATTATTTTAACTTCATGTAAGGAAAATATTTAAAAATCAAAGTTAAAGTACTAAACATGATCAAACTTTTTCCAAGAATCGTTCAATGTTTATTGGATTATGGAAAGTATTTTCTAGTATTTCTTTTTTATGAATACATTTTTTTTGTCTCAAACAAATTTTATCAATAGCTAATAATTGTTATTAGTAAACAATATTCATTGATAATGAAAAAGTTATTACCACAAATCATCATTGAACATTAACACGACGTTGAATTTAATTTGAAACATTATAATAGAAAAAAAGTGTTATACAATCAAAAGAAAAGTAATTATCATTTATTCAAAAGCAAACTTGATTACAAGACATTTTACTAAGCTGTGTTAATATTTTAATTATTATTATTAATTCAATAAGAAGTCTTATTTAGTAATAAAGAAATAAATTGTCATTAACAGTCTGCTATGTAACCTCGATTTGAGTATTTTTTTCCTTTTAAAGATACATTTTTATCATCATGTGTACTGACGCAAAAAGTATATAAAAGAAACTTGACTTTATTTAGCACGTTTATAAATATTGGTATAATTATTTGTTAACAGACAAAGAAGAAGAAGAATGAAGCGACACGGTAGATTAGCATTGCTACTGCCGTTGTCGGTGTTGCTGATTACTGCGACAACTATTCACGCATCACCGACGTCACATCGGCCAGATGAGAAGACAACGGAAGTGGAACATGAGACTACTTCGACGACAACCAAAACCACGTGGAAATCGGTGTCGACAACTGAAAGACCAACCAATCAACCGGAAGTAACTAGCACGACTGCTGCTCCATTGGGGTGGGTGTCATTTGAGGAGACTGAAAAGCCTAAAGATGATGCAAAAGAGTTGCTATTCTCCAAGAATGATCGTCTTAAAGAGATCCTTAAACTCGATGAAAAGACATCTTCTGAAGATCTTTCTCGGTTAACAAAGCCTATTATCAATCCCAAGGATGCACTCTTGCAGGAAATTCAAACATTAGATGAGACTGAATCAAACAATCAGGTAAAGTGATATTCATTTTTAATCGATACTTAATTAAATTTCAGTAAAAGAAAAACAATTTTATAATCAGGTGTGTTGAAGAGAAAAAAGTAATTATTATAATTTTTTATTTCATTCTAGAAGATTCAGGAAGAAGTAGCTAAAGTAATAAAAGCAGAAGCTCAAAGAACAAGACCAAAAAAACGATTAAATAATCCCATTACTCTTTCAACAACTTCTGTGCCACCATCATCACAACCGGTATCAACCACTGAAAGTCGTGCAATGAAAGAGCTACTGGAAGCCGAAACTGACGTTACTTATAATGATATGGCTGATGATGATGATGAGGATGATGATGAAGATGATGATAGCGATGAAGACGACGATGATGATGATGATGATGATGATGAATATAACGACGATGATATTGATGATGAGGAGGATGTGATGACAAATTGTCCTGATTACTGCAGGTGTTCAGGACAGTTCACTAGTGCTACAACAGCAAGGTAAATTCTTAAACGACTAGATCATTAAATTATGATTATTATTACTAAACCAGTCATTGACAATAAATCATAGCTAGATAAATTGCATCTAATAGATAAATAACAATAGATAATCATATGATTGTGATTTATTATTTTTAGATGTAGCAAACTGGTAGAAAAGCAGTCCTTCGGTCCAGGCATCACCCACTTATTAATCGAGAATGCTGGTGAGATCAGACTCGGCCCACACGCTTTACGAACTCGTAATTTAGAGCATTTAGAAACGATCACGATTGTCGATACACGAATCGCTGGTATTGATAGAACGGCCTTCGATGGAATTACCTATCTGTTTGCTGTCAATCTCAGCCGTACAAATCTTTTTGACATTCATCCAGACACATTCCAGAACAACAGTCAACTAAATCTCCTCACTATTGCTGGTCATCCATTACATAACTGGAATACAGATTATTTATTAGATGCTCCAAGTGTATCAGAGTTTGATTTCTCATGGAATTCTCTACCACAATTGCCAAAATCAGCATTTTCAAAAATGCCAAATCTAGCCTATTTAAATTTAAAACAAAATCAACTGAAAAGAGTTGAAAAACACTTGTTTAAACCTCTTACTGCTCTTGCTGAATTAGATTTATCTGGAAATTTACTGTCAGACCTACCAGTAGATGTTTTCGAAAATACGGACCTCCAACGTTTAAATCTTGCTGGTAACTTTTTAACAACCTTGGCATCAATCACAGCTGCATCTCTTAATATATTGGATGTATCAAATAATCGTATTAAAGTCATTGCAAAGAGTGACCTTGATAACGTTCCATTATTGGAGCAGCTACATGTGTCTGGAAATAATATGAAGAGAATTCATCAACATGCATTTTCAGAGCTGGATCAATTGGAATACGTAGACATTAGTAATAATAAAATATCATCCTTAACAGAACATCATTTTAGAAATAATCCTCGATTGGAAGTATTGCGAATGAATGATAATCCCGAGCTTGGAAGCCTACCAATCTTCAAAATTACCGGGCTTGAATATAACACATACAACATATATCGTTTGGAGTGTTCCAATTGCGGCCTTCAGTTTATCAAGAGTGGTACTTTTAATGCGATGCCGGCATTGATTCATCTAAATCTTGCCAAAAATAAACTAACTGGTCTTCCAAAAGGTCTTCTTGAGCCATTGTCTACTCTTAGAGAACTAGATCTTTCTGACAACATGATATCTTCTATTCCTACTCACATGTTCTACGGAGCGAAGTCATTGACGAAACTCAATCTCGCCGGAAATCCTTTGGTGACACTTCAGGTTACGCCTTTCATGCAGATACCGGAACTTTCACGCCTTGATGTAGATAGGTGTCAGCTAAGAAGAATTTGGAGCGAGGCTAGACAACCTCTTAAATCACTCCGGTAAATTTTAACTATTTTTATAAAATTTTAATTATTAATAACTCTTACATTGATATTAAGACTTTCCAATAATTTCGCAATCTTTCTTATTAATTCTTGAATAGAAAAAATGATATTGCAAACTAAATGACAAGCTTAAAAAACTCAGGAAATGAACTAAAAAAAGACGATAGTGAACGTCAACCAATCTGGTGTTGATAGAATAAAATTATATAAACATATCATTAGATGACTTTACAAATTGTTATAGTATAAAAAAATTACTTTATCTCGTTTAGTAGCATAGAGATACATAATTAACTCTAAAATAATTATTTCAGTTTCTTGTCAGTTCGTAACAACGAATTGGAAAGAATCACTGTAGAAGAATTGAAGGCCATGCCAAAGATTTCGGGTCTCGATATTTCTAAAAATCCTCTCAACTGCGATGCGGAATTCACTGAAGCCATGGAATGGCTCAAGTCCCACGGAGTTACACCAACGGAAGCGATTAAAACCATGAACCTCAATGGAAATAACGGTTATTCTGCAATAGAAAGTATCACCAGCTGGAGTGACTTAACGAAATTAGTTTGTGAAGACGATGAAGATGATGTTCCAGCTCCTAAATCATCATCACCGAAACCAGACTTATTATTCCCAATTGAAATTACTGATGAAGAAGCTGCAGAAATCTCTAAAGCTGATCTTGAAGCTGACATCAATAAGATCAAAATGGTATTTATGTTTGAAAAAATTTTTTGATTTTAATATAAATTAAATAGTTAATTAATTAAAAATATTATTTTTTATTGCAGCTTAACCATGGAAAACAACTCAATGATAATTTCGATGATGCTTGGCAAGAATTGGATAAGAATGTTGAATACGCAGATTATTATAACGAAAAAACCATCGAGTCATATCCCACATGGTACTCTACCGCAATGTGGTCAGTTCTGACAGTAGGATTTGTCACATTAGGTGTGCTTTTGATCATTATCCAGTTTGCCCGCTTTATGGCAAGTCGTCGAGGTCGCGGACCTGTCATTCGACCACCACTAATCCTTCGCCAAGGTCTTGTAGATAATAAAAATTGTGGTTTAGTATACAAACCATTGCAAGAAGAAATTCCCACCCCTCAAATGCCTAAAAAAGGTAGTGGATATTCACGAGGACCATTCCATTATAAACAAATTGTGCCAGAAAGCAGCTAAATAATTATTTCATATTAATTTAAGAAAAAAGTAAGAAAAGAGAGAGAGAGAGAAAAGAATAAATAAATGAGGTATTAATAAGAAAATACTTGTCAAGAGATTTAATTATTATTCAATTAATCTCTTCTTCAATAATCATTTATTTTTATAATGAAAGAAAATTAGTAAATGTATGAACCATACAAATTATATGGTAACTTCTAAGTGATAAGTGAAGGAAACAAGGAATATTAATAAGTTAATTGCTTGATTTGATAAAATTTCATGTTTATCAATATCAAGAATGAATGAGCAACAATAATGGCAAAGGGATTAATTATAACTATTATGATTGATAATAATTAAGACTTAATATTAAGCAGATAATGAATTTTATACTGCAATTTACTGTGAAACTTAAATGCTGAAGCATATTGTACCTATTATTATATCTTAATTTTTATGCAAAAATGCAAAGTAGTTACTTTATAATTCCTTAGCTTACTTATTTTATCATATTCTCGCTTTGTCCTAGACGCTGTAAATAATATGTATTTCGATTTACAATTTTAATAAAAATATATTTAGTCAAAAAATGACAGGTTTATTCCATGAATATAAATTTTAAATCAGTTAATTTAATTTAAATCATAAGAATCATTGATAGTACAATAAATTGATAAATTATTCTGTGAACGGTTGTTAGATACAAGTTCAAGCAATTACTATTGAAGAAATCAAGAATGAACATAAGAGAGGGAGAAGTGGTGGAGGGAGATGTTCAACAAGTTAACTGACTTCTGAATGACGTTAAGATCGCAATAAAACGGAGTAAATCTAGCTCATATAAGTGCATATAATTATTGTGTCTTTTATAAACCTGTGAGATTGTTGTAAAATAATTTGAGATGCTGCCCAGAAGACGAGTGATTAATCTACTACAAGTTATGTTGTCTCAATCGTAAGTATTCCAAGGTTCCAAGTTTATCTTCAGTGAACTCTATCAATAAAACTGTAAACCGGTTTCAATTATTCGAGAGTTCTACTTCGTTTACTTGAAGTACTGTAATTCATTAGTTCAGCAATACTGAAAAATTTCCCAACAAACAAGTGAATAAATAATATTTTATTTATTTATTTTTCTTTTTTATTTATAGTTGTAGATGTCCTGCGCATGGAAACGCTGGTTCTGTAGCATTGAATAATTCCAGTAAATTAAGCAGTACATCTTTAGATGTGGCTACAACAAAAGAGTATGCTTTCGAGGTAAATAAATTTTTAACATTTTTTTATTGAATTTTTTCAACTGAAATATTTGTTTTTCTTAGATGGCTTGTTCAACTATCAGATATGGTATTGGAGTAACTCGAGAATTGGGAATGGATTTCCAAAACTTAGGAGTCAAAAAAACATGTTTAATGACTGATCCCAAGTTAGTAAATCTTATTCCAGTAAAAACAGCAATCGAAAGTCTTTCCAAGTATAAAATAAATTTCGATATTTATGATAAAGTTCGCATCGAACCAACTGAAACAAGTCTTCAAGATGCTATCAAGTTTGCAAAAACAGGAAACTACGATTCTTTTATAGCGGTTGGAGGTGGTTCTGTTATTGATACCTGTAAAGCAGCTAATCTTTATCTTAGTGATCCTCAAGCTGAATTTCTAGACTATGTTAATTCGCCTATTGGCAAAGCTAAACCAGTTACCATAGACTTGAAGCCATTAATAGCAGTTCCAACAACTTCAGGAACAGGATCAGAAACTACTGGGGTCTCTATTTTTGATTATAGTCCTTTAAAAGCGAAAACTGGTATCGCTAACAGAGCGTTGAGACCTTTCCTTGGTATCATTGATCCTCTTCACACGCTCACACTTCCTGAAAGAGTTACTGCTTTTTCAGGATTTGATGTGCTATGCCACGCTTTAGAATCTTTCACTGCTATTCCTTATACTGAAAGAACACCTTGTCCTTCAAATCCTATTCTAAGACCTGCATATCAAGGAAGCAATCCTATAAGTGATGTTTGGGCAAAATATGCTTTGAAGATAATGAAAAAATATTTCAAAAGAGCTGTTTATCAACAAGATGATCTTGAAGCCAGAAGTCATATGCATTTAGCTAGTACAATGGCTGGTGTTGGTTTTGGTAATGCTGGAGTTCATCTTTGTCATGGATTGTCGTATCCTATTAGTGGAAATCCGCCGGCTAAATGTTATCCTGAGGTATAAATTATTTTTTTCATCATTTCTTGCTCAGCATTTATAATAATTATTATCTTTTTAACTTTTTTATTTTACATAATATTAGGGATACAGTAAAGATCATCCGATTGTTCCTCATGGATTATCAGTGGTCATTTCAGCACCAGCAGTATTTTCTTTTACTGGAATAGCTTGTCCAGAGAAACATCTTGAAGCAGCAGAATTACTTGGGGCGGATGTAAGCACTAAAAAAAAGGCGGACGCTGGAGTAGTTTTAGCTGACATTGTCCGAGAGTATATGAGTATGATGAAAATACCAAATGGTTTGGGCGAGCTTGGTTATAAAAAAGATGAAATTCCAAAGCTTGTTAGTGGAACCTTACCACAGGTAAGTTAATTATGTATTTATAATTTTTATAACATAAATGCTACTCTTTTTTTTAAATATATGATAATACCAAATGTTTCTTAAAAATAAAACAATAAGATTAATTATTTATTTTTAGCATCGTATTACAAAACTAGCACCACGAGATCAAACTGAAGAAGATCTTACTAAATTATTTGAAAATTCGTTCAGTATATATTAACTTTATGAGACTGATTTTTGTAGGTAAAAATAGTAAAATTAAATCAATAATATTGTAATAATGAAGAAAAATATAACATATTTAATTTTTTCAAAACAAATAGTTTTATATTATTTCAAAAACAAAAGAAAAACATATTATCGAATTATTCTTTTTTTTTAGTATTCAAATCAAAGATTGAATATTAACCAAATTTTACGTTCTGTTATCTCACGCTGATAAATATCATCTTCAAATACAATAAAATATGTTGACGGTTGGAATTAATGGATTTGGAAGAATTGGAAGAATGTGTTTACGTGTGTGCCTTGAGCAAGATATTCAAGTAACTCATCGTTATTTATAATTAATTACTAAAAACTGAACATAAGCAAGGTTTAAGTGTAAGAATTTATAATTTTCAATAAGGTAAATTTAATCAACGACCCATTCATTTCAACGGATTATATGCTGTACCTATTCAAATACGATTCAACTCATGGCACTTACCCAACATCAATGGAATGTGAAAAATCAACAATCATCATTGGAAATAATAGAATAGCTACTTCACAAGAAAAAGATCCTCTGCAAATAAAATGGAAAAATTTTAATGTCAATTTTGTTATTGAATCCACTGGAGTGTTTACAACCTTACACAAAGCCTCAGTAAACTTTTTGCATTCTTCTATAACAAAGCATAAAAATATTTATAATATGTAATATAATCAAACTTTTTAATACTTTACTTTAAGATGCATATTGATGCAGGCGCAAGAAGAGTTGTAATAACGGCTCCTTCAATAGATTCTCCAATGATAGTTTACGGAGTTAATCATTATTGTTATGATCCAAAGCATAGCAGTATCATTTCAACAGCTTCTTGCACTACTAATTGTGCTGCTCCAATTATCAAGGTGATGGATGAAAACTTCGAAGTATTAGAAGTAATGATTACAAGCATTCATGCCACCACAGCTACCCAGAAAACAGTGGATGGCCCAACTGGACAGGCATGTAGTCTCCTACAGAGGTGATTTAAAAATAGATAGTGTGTGACAAATATTAATTGTAGACTTAAACCGTCGTGTGAGGTCAAGGTCTCCTTACATAAAAAGTTTTTATAATGCAATATGCACATGTGCATCACAGTTGTGGCGAGATGGCAGAGGATGTCTTCAGAATATTATTCCAACATCGACTGGTGCTGCCAAATGTCTGTCTAAAGTGATTCCATCTCTGAGAGATAAAGTTTCTGCGATTGCATTTAAAGTTCCAGTTGCTAATGTTTCATTATGTGATATGACATTCAGGTAAATATTACAGTTATCAATGATCCATAGTTCGTTTATGATGACTCAAATGTTTCTAAACATTTGAGTTTGCAGTGTCGTTTCATTAAAAATCCATATTAACATAAATCTATGAATATTGTTTTATGCCGATACATAGAATTAATAAACCAGCAAGCTATGAAGAAATCAAAACAGCAATGAAACTAGCATCAGCAAACGAACTCCAAGGAATACTTCATTACACTGAAGATGACGTTGTATCATCAGATTTCAATCATACAAAATATTCTTGTATATTTGATGTAAAAGCTGGTATTCCTCAAACAGGCACTTTTATAAAAATTGTTGCTTGGTATGATAATGAATATGGATACGCAAACAGAATTATTGATTTAATCAAGTTTATGTATGATGTAGACATGGGAAAAAGCTGCCCACCTCTTGAAGATTTGATTTAAAAAAATAAAATATGATATATTATGATAATTAAATAAATAATGTGGGATTCAAAAGTCCATAAAAAATATTTTGACTCAGCATTTTTAAAAATTTTCTGCTATATTAATTAAAATTATAGGCTCATAGTACTAGAATCTCAAGTAAATTTATAATTGACTGATTTAGAGAAAATAATGTACAATGATTTTGTAAAAAATTACAATTTAGTAGAGATGGAAATTTCTTTAAAGTGACATGTTAAGTGCAGAATTAAATAATCATCAAATTCACTTTTAAAAATACAGAGGTAATCGTTGAAGTTCTGACAAGTGTTTGATTTATACCAATGTTTAACCATGACTTTGAGAAACAACATACATTGAAATTATAATACAAATATTTGAGATTTCTAATATGTAATGTTATTTAGGAAAATATAAAAAAATGTTCCAATTAAATCAATAAATTATTACACAAAGAAATACTAAAATATCTTTCAATTATCTAATATAAAAATGATATATTTTTCATGTATTATTTCATTTTGCTAGGAATATAATTAACTTTTCTCTAAACTTCGAAGAATTTTCCAAAAAAATTTTAAAGATATGTTGATAATTGACACACTATTATTGATTTCAAAAAAGCAATGATTATTAATTATTAATCATTTAAAAAAATTGGATTCTGGTTACAATAAAATTGACTTGAGTGCAGATATTGTCGGCAACTACAATAATTATTATATTTTTGCAAAAAATCCAGCACTCTGTGTTACCGATGACCAATGTGGTTATCAGTTGGAATTTTATAAATTTATTTAATTTTCATCAATATAAATTTACATAAATTATATAAGATTTATTATTAAATATTAAGATAATTACCAGGCAATTTTTCATATTCAATTCATCTATTATTTCAGAATTAATAAATTGTAAAAAACTTAATTAAACTTTTTTGAAAAATTTAAAATGATACCCTTTTTTTATTGGCAATAAAAATCATGTGACAAAAACTATCCACCAATGAAAGAAAAGTAAAATTAACCAATGGAAATCGCGTGTGCGCACACGCAGGCACATTGTATTTTATAATAGTTCACTTGCCCTTCAAACGACACTATTTCCGCAGTTGTCGAAGTGATTGCTGGTTCGTCTCGTTGTTACGTAAGTAATGTGTGTTTTTAATTTAATCATTTAATTTCATTTATCAAGTATCACGCCACATTACGATACATTTTATTATTCAGATTTTTCCCATTCAAAATCATCACGTAATTATCAATAAAAAATCGTTAAAATTGTGAAAAAAATGGTCGGCATTTTGACGAGCTTTGCACTCGATAGAGAATTATTTAAACTGAAAATCAATTTGATTCTTATAAAAATTGATAAAACAACTTTACTGACGTTTCTAGATAAAAAATTTATTTATTAATTACATAAATTTTGCATAATATCTTTTTCTGTTCTGATTGTTACTGAAATTTGACAATTTTTGACGAACGTGTCATGGCTCGCGTGTCTTTTGTCATTGAAAAAATGGTATGTGTATCATTTGTACTCCCAACTGCCTAAATTTATTATAATCAAGGACGGATTAAAAATAATTGTTGAGATATTAGGTGATGTAATAATTGCATTATTAGAAAAATATTTAAAAGTGCAATGATCTAATAATTTATATATGCTCCAGCGTCATTGGCAAATTTTTTTTACCGGCTAATAGCAATTAAAACCGTAAATTAAGTGCAACAAAGGTCAGAAAAGTTGTAAGTCAACTTAAATATTCCAGGGCGTTATAATTATTCTAAGTTATTAAATAAATACATAAGATTTCTATGTTACGTGATTTTTTCAACTTATGCATCATCTATCTTAGCTCTAACATACTCAGCGGTATCGATCCGGAATTTACGGTTGTATGCGCCGTACTATTCGCGCTGTGCGGACAGTATGGCTGACGTAAAAACCTTGTTGAAGGAGAAATTGACTTTGAATGCCCTTGAAATTTTTATGAATGGATTTATATCATTTAACTATTGAACAAATGACATCAATTAATGATTGAAATTTGACATTTCTCACTGTAAACATTGATAAGAACTTTATGCAACTAATGTCTCAGATATTTTACTCTTCCTATCATCATTTATCTTTTTTCTTACATTTCTTACATCTTCATTAAAAATATTCGCGACTATAAATTAAACTTTTCTTAAAAATCAATTGAATACTATTAAGTTTAAATTTAAAGTCTTATTCCTATGACGTATTTATTTCATAACACGATAGTTAGAGAAAAACAATTTTTATTGACAAAAATTTTGTTATTATTATTTTTTTTATTTATTCTTATCAATATTTTCAGTCAAGTATTAAGAATTGAGAGCTTATTGTCTCACTTAATACATCAAAAAGTTCCTAAAATTGCTAGTATTTGTATTTTTCATATTGATTGTCTATTTTTAGATTACTAAATAAAACAATCATGAGCAAAATTGGAATCAACGGTTTTGGACGTATTGGACGTCTTGTCCTCAGAGCTGCTCTTGAAAAGGGTGCTCAGGTCGTGGCCATCAATGACCCGTTCATTGGTCTAGATTACATGGTTTACATGTTCAAATATGATTCAACCCATGGTAAATTCAAGGGAGAAGTGAAAGCCGAAGGTGGTATGCTTGTTGTGAATGGAAACAAAATTTCTGTGTTCAGCGAGCGTGACCCTAAAGCTATCCCATGGGGCAAAGCTGGTGCGGAATACGTTGTTGAATCAACTGGTGTTTTCACAACCATAGAGAAAGCTTCGGTAAGTAGATAGTAATTACTTATTAAATCAGATCATTATACATTTTACAAATGAACTTCTTATTGTCATTTGTATCATCTTAGGCTCATTTGGAAGGTGGAGCAAAAAAAGTCATCATATCAGCTCCCTCAGCTGATGCTCCAATGTATGTTTGTGGTGTCAACCTTGACTCTTATGATCCAAGCCACAAAGTCGTTTCTAACGCCTCTTGTACAACTAACTGCCTTGCTCCACTTGCTAAGGTCATTCATGACAACTTCGAAATTGTTGAGGGTCTAATGACAACTGTTCATGCGACTACTGCTACTCAAAAAACTGTTGATGGACCATCTGGCAAGGTTTGTTATTTTTTTATTTAATTACTTAATTATTAAAATTGATAAATATAATTCTACGAGATATTTTATATTTTAGTTATGGCGAGACGGCCGTGGAGCTGCACAAAATATCATTCCTGCTGCTACTGGTGCTGCTAAAGCTGTTGGCAAAGTTATTCCTGCTCTCAATGGAAAACTTACTGGTATGGCATTCCGTGTTCCAGTTGCCAACGTATCAGTTGTCGATTTAACTGTTCGTCTTGGCAAACCTGCAAGCTACGATGCTATCAAGGCCAAGGTCAAAGAAGCTGCGGAAGGACCACTCAAGGGAATTCTTGACTATACTGAAGATGATGTTGTCTCATCTGATTTCATCAGTGATAGCCACTCCAGTATCTTTGATGCTAAAGCTGGAATTCCATTGAATGATCAATTTGTTAAATTAATCTCTTGGTATGACAATGAATATGGTTATTCCAACCGTGTTGTTGATCTTATCAAATACATGCAGTCAAAAGATCAGTAAATGTTACATACAAATTGAAACTTATTGTTAATTCTTTATTTTTGAGAATTAACTTCATGTAATGATTCTAGAGCAGGCTCTATGTCGTCTTCATTAGTTTGAAGAATAAAAGAGAGAGGAAATGAGAGAAGAAAAAAAATGTTAAGCTTTTCATTGCTATAATTTTAGAAATAAAAGTAAGAAACATTATTCAAATTCAGAATAATTATAAATTACAGTATAAAATTGAATTTATCAACAAATAAAGTTGGTAGTATTAAAATCAATAGTGTTATGTAATATTATCTATTTATCAACCTTTTTTTCATTTGAACATTAATAAATAAAAAAATTAAATAATTTCTTTCTGACCTTTATTGATTAATTTCATCTTTCAACTTTTGTTATTTATTATTAGTATTGTATTACTTAGCTTGATAACTTTTGAGACAAATTTTATTATTTAAGAATTAAATATTACTCATATAAATAATATTTTCATGAAAAAAGTCATTGAATAATTGCTGGTTTTTTTGTTAATCTCAAAATTTAAGTAAGTTAGATTTGTTGGCCATTAATCTGATAACTGATTATCGATAGAAATTTTCAATAAAGATGTGAGGATTTATGGCACAAATTTGAGCAAATAAACATATTTGCGAATTGTCTTTATTATCACACAAAATTAAAAGACACATGGCTCGTTAAGGCCTAGAATTATCAGCCTTAATTTTTATAATTATTCATTGTTAAATTTCAATTAATAATTACATTGATCAAACAGTTGATAATTTCAGGAATCAATCCTTTATCAATAGCTACATATTCTTCTTTCTAATACATATATACAAATACATCTGGACTATAACATTAATTCCATCAACGATGAAATAGTATTTAAATTTATTATTCTTCAATAACGAAGAAAACATTAACGTTCTGCTAAAACGAATGTTAAAGTTGCGATGAAAACATTTGATTATATTTTTTTTCATTGCAATAAGAAAATACATTCGGCTTTAATCGACAAAGCCTTTTGGTACTGTCATTAAATTATTTTTTTTTATTCATAATGTAGTTTTAAACTCTTTTTATATTAATTATATTTTGTTAATGCTTACTATTGATACATCGTACTTAGTCTCATTTTTTAGCTTGATGATACAGGTCGTAAACCAATCAAAATTGAAACAAAATATTTTACTAGATATAGAAATAGAAGTTAAAAATAATAGAAAAAAAATATTAAAAATTGGTTTCAAGACGCTCAAGTGATTAAAGGCGTTGTGATAAGTAACGAAAAAACAAAATATCGTAAATTAATGTTAAAATTCTTATAATGAAAGTGATTGAGTGCTGTGATAAATATATGGGCGGACAAACATAGCATCAGTGTGCAGAAAAGATAGTGAAGAAACGCAAGATCATGTTATAAGTAAAAGTTTAGCTCGAAGATTAATTCTCTCTTGAAGTGCTCCAGCTAATTCACGTGTTAGTTCTTCACATACAAGTCGAAGTTCAGCATTTTTTTCTCTCAGTTCTTGTAGAGTTAACCGTTTGCTTTCATCATCTTCTTTGTTCTCCTCCTCACCTTCTCCACGTTCTGTAATCATGAAGAACATTTTTTTTAACGATTAGTTTTTTAAACATGAAAATGTTATTAGTTAGTGTTAGTTTACTTGGACTGGGCTTTCTATAAATATGAAAAGCTCCACAAACGCCAGTAAATTGTTGATTATGATTCGTAGGACCAGTCTCAATAGATTTTTCATCACCTTTTGGAGAAAACTGTGAAAAATCAGCAACAAAACCTTGATTATCGCTGGTGGTGGCTTTATATTCTTCACACTCACTTCTTTGACCGATCAGTTTCCTCGGAGAGCTCTGAAAAATACATTTTTTGTGTTTTTTAATGGATTTATCACTCATTAAAATTCTAATTAATCTATCAATATTATATTGAATTTTTTTCATTTCATTACTTACAATTCCAGGAGATACTCTCGGAGGTATTGTAGGCGGGGCTCCTAGAAAATTTTGTCCGTTTTTACCTTCAATTAGAGAAACTATTTACTTGACATGAAAATATTGTTAAAATTTAAGTAATAAATGAACTGTTAACATAAGCATAGTCACCTAATTTATTTAGATCAAGACTAGAACTTCGAGTATGAGTTCTATAAGGTCTCGGTGGTGGTGGAGGAGGTGGTTCTTTCTTCGGAGTAACAACTAGTCCCTCATCATTAGGTTGTAATGACTTTTTATTTAACGATCTTTGCCCAAGAGCAACGGTTGAATGCTGTACTTCTTCATCAACTAATCCAGCCACAGTCCCGTTATTACAGTTAGCACTGGATGCTAAAATTGCTGCTTCTGGTGTCAATCGCAAGGGAACTGGATGTAAAATTTTTGGATCACGTTCTACAGCGGATTTTTGAAAATCAAAGTTAACTGGTTTAGGTCCAGGGCTTGTTAAATTACTAGTTCCAGTGGGAGAATCAACAAATTTGGTCCATTCTTTAGTTTTTTCTTGAGTTTTTCGAGAATTTGGTGAATTTTGATTTTGATTTATCGTTTGATTAGGAGGAGATGGTGGTGGAGGTGGTGGTTGTGGCGGTGACTGATTAATGACAGATTTAGAAGGCGGAATAGTTAAAGTAAAAGCAAGACTAGGAGGCAAATTATCTGGTAGAGGAACATGATTTCTACGTAGAACAACTAAATGCATAGCAACATAGAACTCTTGCAGACTTAAAGCTCCGTCTCTAGTGACATCAGCTAATTGCCAAATCCGCCGGAGTTCTGCTACAGGTAGACGAGATTTTTCAAAGAAAGTTCTTGCTACATGGCCGGCTAATAAACCTTCAGGATCAGGTTGGAGCCTGGCAAATTGAGCGGCATAATAATCTCTTTGTTCATTACTGATTATCCAAACTTCTTCTGGAGGAAAACTAGACCCATCACCGTCACCATCGCCTTCATCACTGCTATGTCTCTCTGAACTTTCTTCTTCAGTTCCCAATAATTGTCTTTGTTCTTCTGATACCAAAAGACCTTGCCAGCTACCAGAAGCTCCGTCTAAAATAGTTTCTCCGCCTATCATCCCACTAATTCTCTCTTGAGTGACACTATTTGTAGGTGTTGGTGAATCAGTACTTCCTCCTGTTTCTCTTTGATATTCTGCCTCGCTTTCACTTTCAGTCATACTCTCGGGTAATCCGTATCTAAATCCACCAATTTTAGCAGATGTTGGAGAATCAGTATTTCGACCAGTTTCTCGAGGATATTCAGCATCACTTTCACTTTCAGTCGTATTTCCGGGTTCTCTATATGCAAACGCACCTTTTACAGTAGTTGGAGAATCATTTCCTCCACTTTTTCTTGGAGATTCTTTAGTTCTATTTTCTACTTTATTATCTAATAAATCATACTGTGAACTACTATTTTTTTTAACTGTTTCTTTGCTTCTACTATTCTCAACATCACCTGATGTGAGCCATGAGAACCTTGGTAATGGAGTTGCTCCGTCTAATGAATTCATTGTCATGTCTCGATGGATATCTAAACCGGCTTGATGAGCTGCTACTAATTTCAACGCCGCATAAAACTGCTTTCTGCTCATATGGACATTTGTTTTAGAACCAACGCAAATATCTAAAATCTGAAGAAAAGAAATTCATAGTGTAGGATATATTAAATAAAAGCTCGAAAATCAATAAATCAACATTATTTTGTAGATATTAATTGAATTTTTATTTTCATTAAGCTTAAGTATGATAACATACTACAAACCTTCATGGTAGCATCTCTGGATAAATTGGCTGATCGGAAAAGCTCATAAGCCTTGACAACCGGGACGTTCCCAGGATCATAGTTGTCACAGCAGTATAAAAATATGTCACCATAGTATCGTAGTTCAGTTTCAGTGAGATGAGCGTTTATCTCTGATATAAATTCCCAGTTCATTTTCTTTCCAATGCTTTGACAATTCAATTAATTGATAAATTTTTAAATTTAATTAAATATCCCAAGAATCGAACACAATATTACTACCTGCTCTTATTATTATTAATTTTTATTTATCTAACTCATCGTGATTGTTTTGTTTTTATTGTCAGAAAGAAATTAAATCAATAATTTTTTATACAGTTCAGGTTCTTGTGATAATTATTATTGTTATTTTATTATATTAATTTAATCCAGCACTTAAATTATTGGAGCCGTATGATTATTGAACACTCAATCGTCGCCATCTTTTTCCTATCAGTAATGGTAGAAATTTTACTCTCATATGTGTATGAGTTTTATATCAGTATTTAATAACAGAATGTTTAATTGAAAAATTTCAAAGAATCAGCGCCTCTGTTCTGATCAAATTGCTTAAACTAGGAAGCATTCAATTCCCATATCGTTGATAAAAAAAATTTTTTAATGAATGAGTAGAAAATTAAAGTCCTACCAACAGAACGTATGACTTGCTGTTATGAAGCTACGGGAAATCAGCCAGTGAGCCATCTTTTGATAAGCAAGAGTACGACACCTCTACAAACACGACATAAATGATGTCTGAGTTTTTTAGAGGATTTTGTTTTATAAGTTGATATCACTGCATTTTTATTGGAAGAGTGAATGTAGCGATTTCCGGTCAACATTGTTGAAATAAAGTAGTAGATTTTTCAAATGTAAATATGTATAATCTTTGTGAACATGCTAAAAAGAAGAGGAAAAATCAAATTTAAAAATATAGACGAAGAATCATTGAGAAAAATTAATATTAACATATTGGATAATAATTAAATACTTAATGTAATCAGGTAATTAGTTTAAGTTATAAAATTTTATATCTAATATTTAAGTTTTTAAATATCGAGAAAACGTTTTTTTGAATCAATTTTATCATTTACCTCATCGAAATTTCAAAATTTTTTGCTATAAAATTGTATAAATTGTTTTACTAGCGCGCTCTTTCCTGCATGTGTACCGCGGTTATCGACTACTCTGTACACGAAAAATATTGTGTGACGTCATCAACGATTCTCAAGACTATCAGCTTCCGATTAAATGTAGAACAAGAATTTTTAATAAATTATTAACGAGTTACAGATTAGTCACTTCCCTAAGAGCGATATTTCTGCTATTTAAGATTGGCACGCCATTTCACTCTCTTCAAACGAGTGCTCCATCTTGTGTTGAGAGAATAAAATAAGAAGGCCGCACTGACGTTGGGGAAGCAAGCAAAATAAGTATCGAAAAGTAGAGTTGTAGGGTAGTACACAGAAACGCAACAAGCGGCGCTGGCGTCAGAAAGCGTCGGAATAAAAAAGAAGAGAGGGCATATAAGACGGAGCATCATAATTGAGAGGAGAAAAAGCATGAAGACAGAAAGTGGTTCCCTTTAAAGGATCGAAATTAAAGCAAAATGAAAAACTTATAGGATTGAATTCAATACAAAATCATCAGGAATCAACTGTCTGCACAGAGAAAAATATATAGTTGATAGAAGTGATTTAAGATAAACAAGAGGCTAACGATTGTGACCATCAAAAAAAAATAGAAAATTTTAATGACTATTTTCAATATCTAAAGGGACAGTCAGCGACCACTGCTTTGAACTTTTAGCAGTCAACTACTCCTCCTTGCTATACATTTGGGAAGACGCTCTCATGAAAAAATTTCCAACTCAACATTTTCATTAACAATACTCGACTAATGAACATCTGTAGTTATTGATAAGAAAACGAATTAAATTTTCAGACTCCTTTTAACATTGAATCAAATATGCTTATTTTAATACTATGATAACATTTACAGCAATTATTATTTCAGGTGTGTTGCTATTAGATGAAATAAAATTGGCTCACAGAATTTCATTTAATGCAAGTGAAGGAATATTTCACGGCTTTGTAGATCTTGGTGATCACACTCCGGAACACCAAATGGATGAAAGCGGTGATCACGGATTAGTGATAATGTTCCAACCGTTTCAGGGAAGATGGGTACAACCGTTGGCATGTTTTCTAAGTTTGGGATGTGCCAACAGTAGAACCCTAGAATGCTTGGTATTAGAAGCATTAATTCTTATTGAAAAAAACGGATTTTATGTGGACGGAATTGTAACTGATGGAGCAACATGGAATCGCAGTATGTGGAAAAGATTCGGAATTTCCACAACAAACATATCGTGCGAGCATCCATGCGATGAAACTCGAAAGTTATGGTTCCTATAATGCAATAATAGATATCGAAGTATTATGTATTTTTCCGAACGTGTATCAGCGGCCATGTAGTCGTATGGAAAAGATGAGAAGAAAAATGCTGATTTAAAAAACAGTTTACCCTTGGTAGTACCTATTTCTGTTCATAAACATAAGACGCTCTCATTGAAGAATTAATTACTCATTAATAAAGTACATGTAAAACAGTTTTTGAACACCTCTTAATATGAATAAAAAAGAAGATTGTATATTTCTGACTACTGTTACTTTTCTAAGAGGTTTTGCCAACTCTTGGCCAATGTGCATTTTCTTAAAACACATTGCTCAGCGAGAACCACGTGAAGGTGGTAGGCTTTTCTCACCAGGAAGAGGATGGAGATTAGAAATTGTTAATGTTCAAATTTAAAATGTCTTCGAAGACCTTGTTTTAGTAGGATGTATGATTGTTTTTTTAGGGCTTATCAGTACTGTTTTCGATAATTATAAATTATGTCCGTTTGATGTATCCAATTTTCCTCTGTTTTCTAAAGTATAGACACTTACTTTGTATTATATGTTTATCTTGAACTGTTTCATGGTTATCATAATGTATTGAATGAAATTAAATTACCTTGTTATCTCTTCTTCTTTTTGCCTCTTTTTCCAGTTGTTGTTTTTCCATTGATGGCTTGAGCGTTTTTATCTATATGAAAATTCAAAGATAAATAGAAGGCTATATTTTGTGCTTCTTTTAGTCGCACTGTCTATTAAATATTATGTACATACCTTACAGTTTTGCTTCTGTGCGTGCTTTTCTCGTTTTTTTTGCCCTTCATGTTTCTCGGTGTTTACGACGCGAGTAATGAAGTGAGCTCGAGAAATTGTATAAAATTTAACAATTTTTCTATTGAAGTCGTATACATGCTCATTACATCCTATTCGATGTTGTGCTGTGAAGCCTCCGTCTCTAAGCATGTACAGTAACTTGAAGAAGCTATCTCGTTTGATTTTATTATTGTTTAAAAATTTAATTACTATGAACTCAATATTTTCGATGAGTTTAACTAGTTGCGATGTCGGGTATGTCAATTTTCCTTTCGTTATTACTTCTATTAGTTTCGTCTTTTCATTAAGTAAAGGGTTTTTTGATATTACAATTTGTAAACATTGTTCACATTGTGTCCACTCGGTCGCCTTCTTTGCGGTATACCCGGTCATGTATTCTATTATATCTTGTTCCACAGTATTTTTAAAAAAGTTCCTCTGCGGTATCGTTGTCATCTTCAAGTACAATTCTTTCAACTATTGAGTTCATTATTTCATCAATTTTTTTTTTGATGGTTGATGGAAATTACGTCTTTCATGAGAGTTGATAATGTTTCTCCACCGCCAACATTACTACCTCGGGGTGGCTTTAATAAACTGTACGTGCTCAATAGATAAAACATTGTGCCGAACATGACTGCATCAGGATACTCATTAGCACTGCAGACTTCTCTGGATAAGCTGAAAAATCGCTACAATTATTGATAAGTGATATGATTTTCTTCTGAAGTGAATTTACCTCCAATGAGTCTTTGTTGAGTCGGGATGTCATTAGGTACTCATATCTACAAGTGTTCGTCAAGTATTCGAGTAATTCTAATGTTGCTTTTAGCGATACTATAAGTCCGTAATAGGTACTTGGCGAGATGTATTCGTAGTCATTTTCTTTACACTTTTCCTCCCACATTGTTAAATATTGAAGAAATGCTAGTTGATGATGTAATTCCCATCAACCATCAAAAAAACCGCAGAGGAACTTTTTTAAAAATACTGTGGAACAAGATATAATAGAATACATGACCGGGTATACCGCAAAGAAGGCGACCGAGTGGACACAATGTGAACAATGTTTACAAATTGTAATATCAAAAAACCCTTTACTTAATGAAAAGACGAAACTAATAGAAGTAATAACGAAAGGAAAATTGACATACCCGACATCGCAACTAGTTAAACTCATCGAAAATATTGAGTTCATAGTAATTAAATTTTTAAACAATAATAAAATCAAACGAGATAGCTTCTTCAAGTTACTGTACATGCTTAGAGACGGAGGCTTCACAGCACAACATCGAATAGGATGTAATGAGCATGTATACGACTTCAATAGAAAAATTGTTAAATTTTATACAATTTCTCGAGCTCACTTCATTACTCGCGTCGTAAACACCGAGAAACATGAAGGGCAAAAAAAACGAGAAAAGCACGCACAGAAGCAAAACTGTAAGGTATGTACATAATATTTAATAGACAGTGCGACTAAAAGAAGCACAAAATATAGCCTTCTATTTATCTTTGAATTTTCATATAGATAAAAACGCTCAAGCCATCAATGGAAAAACAACAACTGGAAAAAGAGGCAAAAAGAAGAAGAGATAACAAGGTAATTTAATTTCATTCAATACATTATGATAACCATGAAACAGTTCAAGATAAACATATAATACAAAGTAAGTGTCTATACTTTAGAAAACAGAGGAAAATTGGATACATCAAACGGACATAATTTATAATTATCGAAAACAGTACTGATAAGCCCTAAAAAAACAATCATACATCCTACTAAAACAAGGTCTTCGAAGACATTTTAAATTTGAACATTAACAATTTCTAATCTCCATCCTCTTCCTGGTGAGAAAAGCCTACCACCTTCACGTGGTTCTCGCTGAGCAATGTGTTTTAAGAAAATGCACATTGGCCAAGAGTTGGCAAAACCTCTTAGAAAAGTAACAGTAGTCAGAAATATACAATCTTCTTTTTTATTCATATTAAGAGGTGTTCAAAAACTGTTTTACATGTACTTTATTAATGAGTAATTAATTCTTCAATGAGAGCGTCTTATGTTTATGAACAGAAATAGGTACTACCAAGGGTAAACTGTTTTTTAAATCAGCATTTTTCTTCTCATCTTTTCCATACGACTACATGGCCGCTGATACACGTTCGGAAAAATACATAATACTTCGATATCTATTATTGCATTATAGGAACCATAACTTTCGAGTTTCATCGCATGGATGCTCGCACGATATGTTTGTTGTGGAAATTCCGAATCTTTTCCACATACTGCGATTCCATGTTGCTCCATCAGTTACAATTCCGTCCACATAAAATCCGTTTTTTTCAATAAGAATTAATGCTTCTAATACCAAGCATTCTAGGGTTCTACTGTTGGCACATCCCAAACTTAGAAAACATGCCAACGGTTGTACCCATCTTCCCTGAAACGGTTGGAACATTATC